CAGCCACTGTACTCCAGTCTGGGCGACAGAGTGAGACTCCAACTCAAAAAAAAAAGAAATCCTTAAATCCACCTATAACCTGCAAACCCCCATCACCAGTATCTTCCCAATATATGTACAGGAATCATCACTTTTGAACCGTCACTCTACTCTGGACAATCCTTCCAACAGAGAACTTAGAAATGTCCCTCCTTCCTGGGCCGACCAATGAAAATCTTACATGTATTGATTTCCTTCTGCCTTTCTAAAATGTATATAACCAAACTGTAATTCAACCACTCCAGATACATGTTCTCACGGTCTTCTGAGGATGGGTGCTTCTGGGCCTAAGGTCATTCATATTGGTCAGAATCAACTATCTTGAAATATTTTACAGAGTTTGGCATTTTTTTGTCAACAGTATTTGTCCTCAACTTTCAAGTGTCTGGAAAAAAGCATGATTCTTTGCTATGAGATCTGAGTTGGAATTCTGACTTTGCTATTTATAAACTGAGTTCTTCAATTATTTTACTCCCCTGAGACTATACTCACCTGCAAAATAGTGACTCCTCTCCTGGGTAATTATCATCAATGAGTTGTTGTACACTGAACTTGTATTTCCCATTGGCATAATGCATCGGTGGGCATGAATTGGAATTCCAGGCCTGGAAACACATCTCATACCACAAGAATGTCAAAACTCAAAACAAATATAAGCTTTTCAAAATGTTTATTAACCACATAAAACTAAACAATATGAGCTGTGATAAATGTTCCTTAGAGGTATTTTTCTTCATGGGCTGGACAGGCTGAGGTTTCTTAGACTCTTAGTTTAATGAAGTTTGGATAGAACATGCCATCTTTTCCTGGTAAGTCTTCCTAGTAGATACATAGATATTTTTCCTTACTCCAGAGACCTTTCAACTGCATTGAAAATGAGGGTCATCTGCCACAAAGAAAAAAAATAATTAAATGATGTTCAGATGAATACTTCTCAAAGTTTTTGAAAGCTAAATGTTGGTAGAGGACAGTTTCAATGATGTGTTACTCTTCCATTTTTATAAAAATCTACTCTGTCGAGTTTCGGAGAGATTTCTAACAATACTACCAAGATTGCAGGAGAAATTTCTAGATCCACTCACTCTGCAATGTCAATCAGTTTCAGTGATGCTTTTCACAGTTATACAAATGCCTTCAAAAAACACTGAATTGAGGCAGTTTCCTCCAAATTCCTAGTTCCAGGCTTCACTTATGATGTGCACAATATTCAAAACACTTCCAAAATTCTTTTTGGATCCATGCTCCTTGTTGATTGCTTTAATTGACCTTTGAAAATTTCACAGATAAAAATACCTTAAGAATGCAACAACATATTTGTTCTGTTGGCTAAAGCCAGTGAGATGCTTTGTGGAGATGAATTGGGGAGGAAGAAAAACTACTTTAGAATCAGAATGCTGTTGCCTAAGAACTGGGAAAGAGCCTCAAGCAGTACCCAGACACAGCTGTTATAAATTTCTTTTTTTTTTTTCTCAGTCGAAGGTATCAGTTGCTCAGGCTGCAGTGACGCAATCATGGCTCACTGAGCCTCCACCTCCTGGGATCAGGTAATCCTTCCACCTCAGCCTCCGGAGTAGCTGGGACTATAGGCGTGGCCACCACAGCTAATTTTTTTGATTTTATGGTAGACACTAGGTATCGCTATGCTATGTTACCCTGGCTGGTCTTGAAGTCCTGGGCTCAAGCAATCCTCCCACCTGTCTCTCAAAGAACTGAAATTACAGGTGTGAGCCACTGCACCAGGCCCTGTTATAATTTTTTTTTTTTTTTTTGAGTTGGAGTCTCACTCTGTCGCCCAGACTGGAGTGCAGTGGCCGCTCCCGGCCACTGCAGCCTCGACCTGCTGGGCTCCAGTGATCCTTCCCCCTCAGCCTTCCGAGTAACCGGAATTACAGGCATGTGCTACCACGCCCGGCTGATTTTTTGATTTATTGTAGAGATGAGGTCTCGCTGCCCAGGCGGGTCTCGAACCCGCGGGCTCAGGCAATCCACTCACCTCAACCTCCCAAAGGTGCGGGATTACAGGCTGAGCCACCGAGCCCGGCTATAATTTTTTTTAATGCCATAATTTGTTTACCTCTGGAACAAAGTGTAGTGAAAATCAAAGTTTGATAATTGGTTCTTCAAAAGCTATTAGTTCATTAACCAAAGGGTACTTGTTCTATACTCTTGTTAGTATAAAGTTAAGACAACAGTTCCAACTCACAGTCAACTGCAATATGTAATTTCTTTTACTTAATTGCATAATCAATACTTAAAAAAAATTTTTTTTTTTTTGAGTTGGAGTCTCCGTTGCCCAGGCTGAAGTGCAGGGGCACATTCACGGCCACGGCAGCCTCGACCTGCTGGGCTCCGGCGATCCTTCCGCCTCAGCCTTCCAAGTAGCTGGAACCACAGGCACGTGCCACCATGCCCAGCTAATTTTTTCTTGATTTATTGTAGAGATAAGGGCTTGCCATGTTGCCCAGACGGGTCTCGAACCCATGGGCTCAGGCATTCCTCTCACCTCGGCCTCCCAAAGTGCTGGGATTATAATCGTGAGCACCGTGCCCAGCCAATATTTAAAATTTTTCTTTCTAACTAAAGTCAGCTTTCCAAAAAAGATATTTTATCAATGGCAAATACCTGTCTCAAACATTAATAGACCTTTGCATTTTAACTAAATTTTCTGGAAAACTCTTCAACATTTCAGTATTAGCCACAAACAGAAACTGTTCAAAGTATAGCGCTCCCATCTAGTGAAATCCCCATCCTCTTGTTTCTATCCACAACAGGGTACTAATCCAGGTCCTCTTTTCTCATCCTGTCATTATTACTGCAATGACCTTGAAATCAGCCTGAACATAATTTCTTAGGTTTATTCTCCAATCCCAAGATATGTATGGGAACCATCACTTTTGAACTGTCACTCTACCCTGGACAATCCCTCCAACAGAGAACTTACTGCATTCTATTGTCACTACATATTCACACAGGACTCCTCTATTTTATCCTGATTTCTTAGTGGGCAAAGACTCATTCCTACTGGTCTACTCGTACTCAGCACATAGAAGGCACTCAACAAAAATACCTTTCGTTGAACATGAGTCCAACACTTATGTTAGTTTTTAGATGGTCTAAGAATTTCCTCTTGAACACCAGATATCAGGTTTTTTCCTCTTAATCTAATATTCTGAAACAGTATTGAAATTTACTGCAAATCTTAATGAAAAACACCTGAATTTTTCTTTGAAGCGAATGCGCTGGAAAAAATGCACCTTAGTGATTTAGAGTAATCCTAATGAACACCAATGACCGTAATTTTTTAAAGAGATAGGGGTCTCACTGTCACCCAGGCCAAAGTACAAAGGCAGGATCATAGCTCATTGGGATTATAGACATAAGCCACAATGCCTGGCCCAATTATCATCCTTTGATAGTTTTGTTCTCAGCAGCTACTGCAAGGTGCAAGTTACTTGCTCCAGTCCATGCAACTTTTTAGGTTTTGTCATCCATACTCACAAGCTCTTAAAACGAATTCCTGTCTGCACCAATTCATCTCAGACCTCTAAAGTTTGCCTTGTAAGATGCCATAAGTTGAAAAGCTAAAACAATCAAGCTTGTTAGAAATACCGTGGGTGCCAAAAAAAGGATACACATTTTAAGCGATGTTATCTTTTAGTTCACTGTAATCAGAGGTAACCACTTTGAGCACCTCTTATAACTGCATAAGTCAAACAGGACTTGTATTCATCTTGTTATTGGTATGTATACTATTACAATTTTTTTTCTTTCTTAGAATGTGTATCCATTTTTGTGGCACCCTCTATATTTATAGCAAAAGCTAGGTGCTGTTGTATGGGATTATAGTCCCATCTACTAAAGAAGCTGAGATAGGAGGATCTGTTGAGTTTAGGGGTTTGAGACTAGCCTGGGGAACATGAGAGCTTTATCTCTTAAAAAAAAAAAAAGAAGATATTTAGAGCACAAATAGACCCTCATAATGTACCCACAATCAAAGTACAATGTTCTTGGATTATCCATTTTATCTGCTCAATGGTCTTCACTGCTTATTCTCTGGTTTTAATCTACATCAGAAAGAGATGTCACAGAAATAACACTACTTATCACTTCAATTTGCACTCTCAATTATTTTTTCTTGGCAGAGTCTTGCTGGTTGCCAGGCTAGTCTTAAACTCCTGGCCTTAAGCAACCCTCCCACCTTGGCCTCCAAAGTGGTGGGATTACAGGTGTGAGCTGCCCGCCACACCTGGCTTCAATTTCTAAAACTCAGCATAGGCCAGGCACAGGGGTTCACATCTGTAATTCCAGCACTTTGGGAAGCCAAGGCAGAAGGATCGGCTGAGCCCAGGAGTTTGAGACCAGTCTAGGCAACAAAGTGAGACCTCGTCTCTACAGAAAATTAAGAAAAATATTAGGCCAGGCGCAGTGGCTCAGTCCTATAATCCCAGCACTTCGGGAGGTTGAGGTGAGAGGATTGCCTGAGCCTCCGGTTCCGAGACCAGCCTGAGATCTCATCTCTACAATAAATCAAAAATTAGCCAGGTATGGTGGTGCATACCTGGTAGTTCCCGCTACTTGGAAGGCTGAGGTGGAAGCCCAGCAGGTCAAAGCTGCGGTAGCCAGGAGCATGCTACTGCCCTCCAGCCTGGGTGACAAGGTAAGACTCCAACTCAAAAATAAAGAAAAGGCTGGGCTCGGTGGCTCAGCCTGTAATCTCGCGCCTTGGGAGGCTGAGGTGAGTGAATGGCCTGAGCCCGTGGGTTCGAGACCCACCTGGGCAACTTGGTGAGACCTCATCTCTACAATAAATCAAAAAACTAGCCGGGTGTGGTAGCGCACGCCTGTAGTTCCAGCTACTTGGAAGGCTGAGGAGGAAGGATCACCGGAGCCCAGCAGGTCGAGGCTGCAGTGGCCAGGAGTGGCCACTGCACTCCAGTCTGGGCAACAGAGTGAGACTCTAACTAAAAAAAAAAAGAAAAGAAAAAAAATTAACTAGGCATGGTGGCATGCCAGTTACTGGGAAGGCTGAGGCAGGATTGCCTGAGCCCTGGAGGTTGAGTTTGCAGTGAGCCATGACTGTGTCACTGCACTCCAGTCCAGTGTGAGACCCTGACTCAAGGAAAAAAAAAAAAACAAACCCAGGCTAGTTTGGTGGGAGGTTTAAAGCTTTAAAGCTCTCTTCTGTGATTCAGTTCAAATTATGAAGTCATGAAGCTGAAGCTATTTTACATTATACTACATTTCTAGCAAGTCAGAGCCATAATATGCAATGTGATATAAAAATACTGTTTATAACGACAAAACTTTCAAAATTGATGGGTAAATTTGTCTTAAATGCAACTAATGTGAACTAAAGCCTATTGTTAACTTCAGTAAGTTTCAGTCTATCAAAAACGTGCCCTTTTAGTACTTTATGTACATTATTCTCTACATTTTATAACGTAGTGATAAAGGAGATAAAATAGTAGAAAACAGGCACCACAAGGATCTATGGTATGCTCAGAGTGACTTTTAATATGCCAATCAATGTTAATAAAACACAAGTCAAAGACAAGTGCAAACATGTTTTAAACCAAAATTAATGAGAAAACAAATAGACAAATTGTTATATATATTTTTTGCAACATGTTAGCCGGTATTATAAGTCGGATGGCTAATCACAGATAAAATATATTTTGTGAAAAACGTGGAATGTCAGAAGTCATTCTGGCATTTCAAACAGCTATGTACAGTATCACCAAAATCTGTTTTTATATACATATACTGAAGAGAAACGGGGCAAAACATTTAAAAACAGACTAACAATACAATCAAGTACAAAACTTGGGAGGAGGGAGAAGACATTTTAAAAAAAGAGTCAGGGAAGGTCATTACCAGAAAAAAATTACAAAACCGGTAATTATTATACTACATTAATACAGCTTTCCAAAGGTAGGGGGAGGTGCATTTTTCCAATGCACTAGCTTCAAAGTTCAAAGAAAAAACAAAGGCAAATAGCTGCTTTCATCAAGAGCAGCTATACATTTCACATAATTGTTTCCAAAAGAAAGCCTATTAACAATGATTGTTTAATGCTACAAGTTTACAGCAAAGACAAAACTAAAATAGCAGCAAATTCACAAGGCAATACTTCCACAGAATTATCATCCCATGGTTCATGCAATGCCTACAAAGTGCTCCCAGTTGGATATACAAGTATAATTCACAATTTAAAAAAAGAAATAAAAGATTGACACACAGGTACATTGAAGGCTGAGTAGTAATGAGTCTTTTAGCATTTCCCTTTTCAAAGGGAAAATGTTCGTAATAAAGCCCTTGAGTCCTTTTACAGGTTACTACAGGGAAAGATACCTTTTATTACAATGCAACAGCAAACTATAAGCAGCACACCACCACAGTGGTTAACCCTGGAAAGGCTGGTGTAACATCTGACAGTGACTGACATCATACAGAAGACAAACTGGTAAGACTAGATGAAAGCCTGATATGGCAATGGTCAAAATACAGCTTCCAACTGTAATTCACAAATAAAAGTCTTAAAAGGTATTTCAGTAAAACTACTGACTCCAATCAAGAAAGTAATTGCAAACTGGATTCTAGCAGTGATTTTAACCTAGCTTCCTCTTGTCACAGTTTTTTGGGGGAGGTGGGAAATGAGTAGTTCAGTATATAGTAAGGCTGACAGAGCGGTTCATTTTCTTTCCAATAAGACGAGATGTTCTATTACTCTGGGTGGTGGACCTAGTGGCCATCCGGTCAGTGAACAGTGCTCTTTCCTCAGCTGCAGCTTTTGCCATCTGGGCTTTCTTCAGTTCTCTAAGAACATAAAAATAGAAAACAAGACTTTTCACATACTATATTAATCCTAAGAAGAGACCTTAGGAAGCCAAACACAAACTATATTATAAACTGCGAGCTATTTGCATCACTATTTTAAGATGTAACTGAAAAAAGAAAAAAATAAATAACATGAAACTTAAGCTTCTATTTAAGCAACTTAAGTTTATGAAATGATTCTATGTTGTGCTTTTATAATTAAAATATCACATTTACTTGGACACAAGTAATAAAGATGCTAGTAATAACTTTAGGTCTTAAATAATTTCAGCTGGATGCAGTGGCTATGGCTAGTGCTTGGGGGACTAAGGCAGAAGGATCATTTGAGGTCAGGAGTTTGAGATAACCCCAGACAACACAGTGAGACCTCATTTCTACAAAAAAAAAAAAAAAAAAAGTTTTAAAATTAG